GGCCAATTCAATCAGATTGGGAGTGGCTGGCTCATTACAGAAGCAGCTTTTCCTCTCCCGGAATTGACACCTCCTCATCTATTATTGGGAGTAGACTACATCCACCCTGATTGAATTGGCCCTATCAACACTGGTTCTCCACTTGCGAAGTAACTCCCTGCTCTCCATGTGTCAGTATATAATGCCTGCATCTGTAACTTTCACTCTATGCATCTGAAGAAGTGAGGTTTTTACCCACAAAAGCTTATGCCCAAATAAATCTGTTAGTCTTTAAGGTGCCACCAGACTCCTTGTTGTTTTTGTAGTCCTATTAATGTTGCCTTTAGTGACATTAGCTTCAGCTTTGCACTTGTACTTCCCACACAGAGGGAACCTTGTCGACAGGGAGAGCCATAGGCTGGGCAATACGAAGTCTATATGCTGAGTCCTTGCAATGGTCAGTTTTCATTGCTCACATTTGGAAGGCTGTTTTTTCCCTTTTTGAGGCCAGAATCCTCTGTCTCTCTCTCCACCCTCATGGAAGCAGTGAGAGAACTCTGAAGTTCTCCTTCATACATTATCTAAGTTTTCTTACACATTTCCTACAAGTTTTATTGATTGGCTTTTGTCCTGACTTTACTATTTGCCCCTTCTGGTGAATTAAATCTGTTCATGTTAGCCATCTTTTGCTGACAAAGGAAATCTTAATTAGGATTTATTTGGAAAAGGTAAAAATAAAACGATGAAAATGCAAAAAAGGGCCCCATTAAAAATCAAAGCAGTTATAGACACAAACAGTACAGTATAAAGCCTGGATTTCTGTATTTTGAACTGAGGGCTCTTTACAAAGAATAATCTTGGTGAACTTTTTAACAAGTGGGGTAATATGAAGGTGCAAGAGGTGTCAAGTTAAAATTTTTTTCTTTAGAGCCTGACCATTTAAAGAAGCAAATGTCGTCTTTTTTTGCATTCACTTTTTCCTCTGTAGTTGCTTAATAATGAGGGAATTATGCCACTGTGTACAATTTTTCTGGAGACTTAAGAAGGAAAGGCAACTTTCAGTTTACCTACATAGTTGACTAAGGGCTTGTCTACACAGTGGGATAACGTGCTGTAAGGGGGTCTGATTTTTAAAGCACGCTAAGTTGCTGTGTATTAAGACCTTTCTGGTATACACTGAAGGTCCCCTAATGTGTTTTAATGTAATACTACTACCAGCAAAGTCTGCATGGATCAATTCAAGTCCAGCATGTTAGTGCATTTTAGAAATCACACCTCCACAGAATGTATTACACCACCATGTAGTAAAGCCCTGAGTAGCTTTTAACCTGTTGGTGCAGATTTCTGTAAGCATGAATACATTTTTGCATTGGCACATCACATCAAGAAATTCATTCCCCTGTGCTGATGCTCAATTCAATTTGCTGAGAGTTACATAGAGATGGAATACATTTTGGTTTATACTGCAGGTCATCACATGCTGTAAGCAGAATTAAGTTCAGATCCTTAAACTAGCTGGACTACTTAAATGCTGGAGAAAGCACTTTGCTGTCTAGAAGTTTGGACAGGGTACTTGAGGATAGGCAAGCTTTGTTTTGTGTTTATAAAACTATCTATTTTTGGTAGCTGAAGGATTTAAGTCACATGAAAACTTTAGGGTTTTTCTTTCCTTTCACAAGAAAAATAAACCTGAAACTCTAGTTCAGATTTTGCCCAACTTGGGCCTCGTGACATTTCTTTAAACTGTACATACCTTGGCCATGGTGTGATATCACTTGCGTCTAGAGCCATCTGAGGAAGATAGGAAACAAAGCATTCTGTGTTACTTTAGGTGGTGGTTGAGCTAAGAAAGAATTGGGGGAGGAATTACTGGAAATGTTTAGATGACCATGTACACCTACATATGTACTATGCAAATACAGAAATATAAAATACCTACTGTATGGACAACAAAGAAGCTTGATATCTCCTGCAACTAGTGTGCTGCGAATGTCACTTGGATACTAACTAGCTGTTTCTTCCTTTATAGATATAAAAAAAGTGTGCAATTCGTAGCCTGTAAATGATGTAGAATGATTTAGTGCAGCAATTGATTGATTTAATGCAAGACACTAAGCAGCTGCTGCCATCACTACTAGTTTGCTCCAGAAAATGGTATAATAGAAGTAACATGCCATTTGATAAAATTCAGCAAAGAAATCATTGATAGTAGGACTGTCAAGCGATTAAAAAAATGTATTGCGATTAATTGCATTGTTAAAAAATAATAAAAAAACATTTATTTAAATATATTTGGATGTTAGCTACATTTTCAAATATATTGATTTCAGTTACAACACAGAATACAAAGTATACAGTACTCACTTTATATTTATTTTTGATTACAAGTATTTGCACTGTAAAAAAACAAAAGAAATTACGTTTCAATTCACCTAATAGAAGTACTGTAGTGCAATCTCTTTATCATGAAAGTTGAATTTACAGATGTAGATTTATGTACAAAAAAACTGCACTCAAAAACAAAACAGTGTAAAACTTTAGGGCCTACAAGTCCACTCAGTCCTTCTTGTTCAGCCAATCGCTCAGACAAACAAGTTTGTTTACATTTGCAGGAGATAATGCTGCCCGCTTCTTGTTTACAATGTCACCTGAAAGCGAGAACAGGCATTCTCACGGCACTGTTGTAGCCAGTGTCACAAGATATTTATGTGCCAGATGTGCTAAAGATTCTTATGTCCCTTTATGCTTCAACTACCATTCCAGGGGACATGTGTCCATGCTGATGACGGGTTCTGCTCGATAACAATCCAAAGCAATGCGGACCAACGCATGTTCATTTTCATTATCTTGAGTCTGATGCCACCAACAGAAGGTTGATTTTCTTTTTTGGTGTTTCGGGTTCTGTAGTTTCCGCATCAGATTATTGCTCTTTTAAGACTTCTGAAAGCATGCTCCACAACTCGTCCCTCTCAGATTTTGGAAGGCACTTCAGATTCTTAAACCTTGGGTCGAGTACTGTAGCTATGTTTAGAAATCTCATATTGGTACCTTCTTTGCATTTTGTGAAACATGAAACTGCTATAACATGAAATATATGGCAGAAAGTGGGTAAAACAGCAGGGGACATACAATTCTCCCCCAGGGAGCTCAGTCACAAATTTAATTAACGCATTATTTTTTTAACGGGCGTCATCAGCATGGAAGCATGTCCTCTGGAATGGGACATTCCATAGCATGAAGAGGCATATGAATGTTTAGCATATCTGGCACGTAAATACTTTGCAATGCCGGCTACAAACGTGCCATGTAAATGCCTGTTCTCGCTTTTTGGTGACATGATAAATAAGAAGATGGCAGTACTATATCCTGTAAATGTAAACAAACTTGTTTGTCTTAGCGACTGGCTGAACAAAAAGTAGGACTGAGTGAACTTGTAGGCTCTGAAGTTTTACATTGTTTTATTTTTGAGTGCAGTTATGTAACAAAAAAAAATCTAAATTTGTAAATTGCACTTTCACAACAAAGAGATTGCACTACAGTACTTGTACGAAGTGAATTGAAAAATACTATTTCTTTTGTTTATCATTTTTACAGTGCAAATATTTGTAATCAAAAATAATACACGCTTTGATTTTAATTACAACACAGAATACAATATATATAAAAATGTAGAAAAACATCCAAAATATAATACCTTTCAATTGGTATTCTATTGTTTAACAGTGCAATTAAAATTGCGATTCATTTTTTTAATCGTGATTAGTTTTTTTGAGTTAGCTGCGATGAATCAATAGCCCTAATTGATAGCTTCCATATTTGCAATGAAGGCTTTCTTCCCTCCCAGATGAACACAACTCTGCGAGGATAAGGGAATTTTTGGGGGGGTGGGTGGGAGGGCATAGCTCCCCTTCCATCCCCTAGCACATACCCCAAAAGAGAAAAGTTAAAGGTACAGGGCCCAGGTGGGGGGAGAGAAACTACTGTGTCTAAGCAATTGTCTTTCATTATATATTAAACCACTTGATTTTTTTTTTTAATATTTTGAGACCTGATATTCTAAGAGATTCTATCCTATTTCCTTCACCTGGGAGAAATAGATTATGGTGAACAGAACGTTATTCAACGTGCTCTCTAGCAAATTCTGCTATTAAACATTTGCATGATAGTTTCCAGAGCACTGGCCTCTGGAGGCTTTTGCTCATTCACCTACTAAGAAATCCTGTGCACCTAGCCACCTTGCTCTAGAGTCACTGGTACTGGCGATCTCTGCAATGGCATGTAAGTGGTCTGGCAGCATCAGCAGTGAGGAAGTTGACGCTGGCTAACAGAATACCAGCTGCTCTGCAGCTACAGTGTTGTAGGACCAAAGCCCCTGTGGTTCAAAGAAGGGGAAGGGCTGTCTAGGGGACAGAATGTGCTGGTTTGAGGATAGGGGGAGGGAAAAGAAAAAGAAGGATTATAGACTGGCTCCGAGAACAATAACTTTATAGAAATGCTCATGTGATGGAGGGTTTTGGGGAGAAGTTCCCTCAGTTGTGCTTTGCCTTCTGAAATACCACCTCCCTAATTGGATCTTGGATTGTATGTTTTTCCCCTTGGAGACCTATTTATTTGTTGCTCTGGAAGTGACTCTGTTATACTGACTTTTTATAATTAAGGTGTATCACACAGCATATGATGTGGGTAAACCAGAGAAACCAAAGCATCTTAGAAATCTGTTTTAGATTTATGAGCATAATTCTTTGTGAATTGCTTAAAGAAAAGACTTCTTGGGTTCACTGAGCAGTAAACCCAAACTAAATTGCCTGACTTGAGCTTCATTTTGTGTGGATGCTATAACTAAAATAGGTGAAAGGAATGGCTGCCAATTTATACAGCTCTGTGGAAGATTACTAATGTATGTGTTAAATGCTGTTTTTTTTCTCACACAAATATTATTAAAACAGGTTTAATTTTACTGTTCCATTTATGTCCGGACATTGCAAAAATTTTAATTTTTTTCCCTTGTCTTCATTCATTAGACATTTGCTGACCAGGTGTTCGGCATTTTCAGTTGGACAGTTCCTGTTGCTGTAGCTGTTTCATGTTTTGGTGGACTTAATGCATCAATTTTAGCATCATCTAGGTAATACACATTTTGGTTCTGTTTTAAGATCTTGCCAAATCAGTACTTGGTCCTGCTATTGAAAGCAGGGGACTGGACTTGATGACCTTTCAGGGTCCCTTCCAGTTCTATGAGATAGGTATATCTCCATATAATAATAATAAAAAAAGATGTTCATAAGCACTCTTAGCCAACTTCATTTATTTTATGTGTGATAAACTAACACTTTTAATGTCCGTGCCATTAAAGAATGTCACAATAAAATAACTGTCCTCAATAGACTTTAGTTTGTATATTCCATATCACAGGTCTGTCCCATTCCCCCCACCCCTCCCAACTCGCAAAATGTGACTGCATAGCAATATGAACAATACATTGTAAGGTATAATAAATGTTGTATACTAGGTAATTAACCACATTGTTTCATGCCCGTGGTCAAGAATTGGATTATTCTCCAGTTTTCTTGTGGAGTTAATAACTTAATTTTCTTGTTTTCCTGTTTAAATACTATGTTTAAAGCTTAAAAATGTATTAAATTTCTGACCTTGTGTGTGAAGCTTTAAAAGTTTTAATTGGTATGACAGTCTTTTTAAAGCTTCAGAGATGTCATGGAAATTTTCTCCTATGCATTGACTACAGACATGACCAGTACAAGCTTCAAAAGAGTTTTTATAATACTTGTTTGTCCATTAACATGCATATTTAACCTCCCCATACTGGAAAGAAATGTTATTTTGAAATTATACAATAGATAAAATTGGAATATTGTTAGAATTATTTATAGAAATTCTTATGTACAGTCACCTCCTTCAGGATCGAACATAAATCATTTCTCATTGTTATGTCATGAAAATTACTAACTTGATGTCAATACTTAAAATTGTACCAAAATGTTTAACTAACGGTATACAGCTGTAATTGTGGATGGTTTCTGTCTCATAACAATGAAAACCTACTTCAGTAATCACAGAAGTTTACCTTTAGCACTGTTTTATTTTAAATATGTAGAGATTTACTTATACAGACCTAGATACAGTACAAGAATAGTTGAATATACATGCAGGTTTATTTGAGGTTGTTCTCATAACATATTTTTACACAGCTGTCTTTCTTTCCTTGGCTCAAGATTTACTACATGTTGTGTCCTTTACAGGCTATTTTTTGTAGGATCCCGGGAAGGTCATCTCCCTGATCTATTGTCCATGATCCATATAGGGAGGTTCACACCTGTACCAGCACTACTCTTCAATGTAAGTTGCTGCTGCTGCTTTTAAGCTGTTTGAAAGTGTTTGGGATATGAAATAGATCCAAAATGGATTTTTTTGTACTTGGGTTGGAGTTCATTGACAGATAAGGTCTGTATTGTATATTACATTAAATGATCTTTCACTTGTATGAATTCACAATTAATTAGTCTCTGGAGAGTTGCATTAGGTTGATAATTCCTAAAAATTCTTAATGTAAGTCAAACTACAAAGTCTCTAAATATAAAGAAAACTGGAACAGGAATAAAGTGACTGAATACTTTGGCTTTGTTGCTGTTGGGTGCAGTTGTTTGCAGACTTCCATTTCTCGTGCACAAGGTAAGACTCAAGCTAGTCTAAGATCCATCTTAAATTTTCTTTGACTTCAAATAGATAATACAATCAGGCTATTTAGTCGTCAGGATATGATTGAACTATGTATGGTAAAAATCTAGCTGTTTATGAACGCCTTTATGCTCTGGTAAACTTGCTTAATGTATTTTGCCACTGTAAGTATCTTTGACAGTAGCTAGGTAGCTGGACTTTGGTGCTAAATTCAGCACTTTATTCACTTCCGTCTTTGGTGAATTGCAAGAAACATCATCCTTGTGTCCCCACCACCTTGGGAAATCTCAGTAAAATCCCATCTCTAGGAATAATCAGAAATAACTGTTTCCCCCCAAAAAGCCCATTTCTGTAAGGGTGAGATTTGTAAGAATATAATCATATAAAGCACTCAGGCATGAAAGATGACATTAATATACAAAGCAAAAAAAACCTTGAAAAACCTATGTATCACTTATAGTTCTTCATGGTACTCATGTTCTTTCCCAACAGTGTACTATGGCCCTCATTTATCTGACTGTAGAAGATGTCTTCCAGCTTATTAACTACTTCAGTTTCAGTTACTGGTTTTTTGTGGGACTATCAATAGCTGGGCAATTATACCTCCGCTGGAAGGAACCAGATCGACCCAGGCCTCTCAAGGTACAAATTAATGAATTAATGTACGCAGAATTAGTTTTTTTAAGATCATTCCCCTACCCCAGTACATCCTACAGCACTGTCTGAAATTTGAACCCATATGCATTATGTCTGAAGTGTTAGATTGTAAACTCTCAGGGCACAAGCCATGTCTTAATTTTTGTAAAATGCCATGCGTTGCTGTCAAGTGCTCAGTAAATATTCCTGCTCTAGCAGACTGGCTCAACTACTAGGTGAAAATGACTGACTGATATTCCTCTTCATTTTTTCAGTTCAGTCACTAGTCCATCCTTCTGCCATCTGAAAAATGGTTCATGTGGTTGAAAACAGGAGCTACTCTTGCTCTTTGGATTATAGGTCAATGGATTATGGCTCTCTCTCTCTCTTCCTCTCCTCCTTAGTCCCAGCACTATTGTGTGAAAGTTAGGGAGGGCAAATTAATCATGCTGGTAGCACCTTTGCTACCAAGGCAATATTTGGAGCTGTTATGGTATGTCTGAATTCGTAATTCCTTTAGCACCTTTCTCTGGTAAAGTTTGATGCACTTCATTAAACAAACCATGCCATTCTTTTTCCGAAGAAGTGGGCTGTAGTCCACGAAAGCTTATGCTCTAATAAATTTGTTAGTCTCTAAGGTGCCACAAGTACTCCTGTTCTTCTTCATGCCATTCTTGACTCTTGAAGGGCAATGTCTCAGTGCAGTGGATTTGTCTAAAAGCCACTCTGCTGCAGTGAAAAGCTTCTTTCAACATTGCATAGTTATAATCTTACACTATTGCACATGTGAATCTTAGCTTCTGTTCTGTGGTTCTGCTGTACAGAGTGTTGTCCTTATATCCACTTAACATGTTTCTAACTAGCCAAATACAAGTCCACCCCGTGCTGTTGTGTGTATGGGAATTAAAAACTTGATTTGGAAAAATGTTATGTATTAAAAGTTACAATTACAGAAAATTGCATTCCTATCGGAGTGCATGTAACTGTTGATATACAAAAACATTCCAAGAATATCCTAATCTTTTTTTCTCCTTTTCTACAGCTGAGCCTATTTTTCCCAATAGCTTTCTGTGTATGCTCAGTATTTCTGGTGGTGGTGCCTCTATATAGTGACACCATTAATTCATTGATCGGAATTGGCATTGCTATATCTGGAATTCCAGTCTACTTCATTGGAGTCTACTTGCCCATTTCCAGAAGGCCTCCATTTATCAACAACATCTTAGGTAAGCGCATGTAGATTGGGAGATTTCACTATTTGCTAGACTTTTATGAAGACATTTACAATAAATTTTAAATTCGTGTGAGTGATCACACATGAGCTGAATGGCAGTAATTGGGGGGGGGGGGAAATCATTATTTTTCTGTATTTTTCATTTCTTTTAGTGTATATTTTATAGCATCTATCAGTCTCATTATATTTGTATCACATTGAAAAATCTAAATCCGAAAGCAAGGCTGGCTGTAATTCTAAACTCACTAAATCTTTCTGGACTCAAGCAAACATGTTGTCTTGCTTCACTTTAGTTGGAGCTTGATCAGCTGCTTGAAAATATGTAATGTGTTTGCTATGCAAAGCTGGGGGGGGGGAGATTGTTCTCTGGAGCTTCGCCTGCCAGTATCCCTTTGTTGAATTGTCCAGTTAAGGATTACTCAATTTCTCGTTGCAGCCTACTGCTTTGTTTTTTACAGTTCGGTAAAAGTTCCCACAGGGGTTGTTCATAAATCCACCGTTAAATGAAATAGGTTACATGGCTTCATCAGTCAGTGCATGGATCAATGATCAAACCTTATCAATTTCTTAAATGTATACAGAAGCCCTTCTCCCTTTCCCCACACACTATTTGGAGCTTTTGCTTTGTAAGCCTTATCAGTCTCTTTTAGCAGGGAAAACAAATTTCAGTGTATTGTATACCCTACAGAGGGTGCCTGGGAGAAAAAACTCACCATTAGGGCATCTTTTAAACATATTGTTGGTTTGTTTTAAAAAAAAAAAAAAACAGACTCAACCAACAATGGAACTTTACCTTGTGTTGCAAATGTATCCTCTTTGTGTATATTTTAAAGAAAATATAACGGAACACACTTCAAGACTAACTTTCACTGATCTATATGTAGTCCAGTTGGCTTAAAGTTCTGTTTAAATAATTTGCTGCTTTGATGATAATACTTGGATATTCACTTGGTTTATCTTCAATTTCCTATGCAGGTGCTATCACTCGAGCCACCCAGGTGCTTTGTTACAGTGTTTTGACAGAGATGGACAGTGAAGATAAGAAATTAGAGACCAAATCTATCTAAAAATTTTAAGCAGTTCCAAAAACAGCAGAGAACCAAGCAAAAGTTGCGAACAGAAACAGAAGAGGATCAACAGGGAATATGGGGCAACTGAAGAACCATTGGAGCCAGGAACAGATATACCAGCTATTACTGAAGAGGGATGCTTGGGTGCATCATACTCCCTGCCATGGTCTGTAGTTAAAGTACTGTCAATTCACATTATTATGGGTAATCATTAACCAGTCACTTCAGACATGGAAACAGAGTCTGCACTATTTATTATAGTTTGAGGCCAATGGAAAATCTCGTAGAAATGGGATTTTAGTAGTAAGAGGGGAAACAGATTCTATAATAGTAGAGCTGAGTGATCACATTAAACGTACTTTGGAGAACTAGGTAGCAGAATAATGAATCATTTTAAGTACAATTCAAAACTACTCCAAGTCAGAAGTGACCAAAAGCCTTTCGTATCTGATGGATGCTCAGTGGCCTATGTGAAGTGACTTGCTTGGGAATCTGCCCCTTATCCCAGTAGATAAGCATCCATAACAAACATTCATCATTGGCAGTTGCAGCAGATTGAATCGGCATATAAAGATTGATCTACCCTTTCTCCTCTAGAAACTATCATTTCAGTGAAAAGTGGTGGGGTCTGCAGAGAGAGAACTCCAATCTCCAAAGCTGTTTTATTCTGCACCTTTCACATGCTCCAAATTGCCTTTTCACAGAAAAAACTTAGACTTGATTAAAATGTTAACATTTACCTATGGATTGTTACCTGTTTTGTGGTGGTGATTGCTTTGTTTCTAACTGGTTCAAATAGAACCCCAAAAAGTAAAATACGTAAGAGGCAAAAACTTTAATAAAGTTTCCATATTTAATTGTTTCTTAAATGAGTTTACAAGCACTGTTACAGCAAAGAGACCAGAAATTCTAGTTTCTGATTTTCAATACTGTTCACCAGAGGCAGTACTTTTACATATTATAAAGACTTTATAGTAGAACTAATATGTAATTCCGTGGCTGTCATCTCAGTTTGAAAATTTAGATGTATAATAGTGACTGGCACAGAAGAGAAATCTATTTGTACATAGCATTCAACTGTGAGAAACATTGTAGGGAAAGGGGAAATACATTCTTGATCTGATGTGCTATTAGTTCACCTCAACAGTTAGTAATAAATACTAGAAATAATTGTACTACTGAAGTAAAGATCAAATCACCTTCAAGATACTGAGGTTCTTCTAATCATACCTTCTTGCTGGGTCTGCTCCTAGTCACTTTACATACCAATGTTAGACAATATTGTAAATATAACACTTAAGTTGAGAGCTGAAACACCTGGGTATCATTTGTTTTTAGAGGTTCAAAATTTGAGATGATTAGCGGGACAGCAAACTGTAGTCCTGTGGTGCAATATGAATACATGTCTGCTTATTTGCCTGTGCTTGAGAGATTCAAATACACCTCTACCCTGATATAATGCGGTAAAGCAGCGCTCCGGGTGGGCAGAGCTGCACGCTCCGGAGGATCAAAGCAAGTTCGATATAATGTGGCTTCATCTATAACACGGTAAGATTTTTTTGGCTTCCGAGGACAGCGTTTTATCGGGGTAGAGGTGTACTATAAAACCAATTTTGTTGCAACTATAGCTAAATTAAGATGAAATACAGCTGCAAAAATGGGTCTTGTATCCTGCCTTCTTTGTGGCACAGTGGGATGACCCTGTTTTGCAATCTTGTTAAATTTTTTATACTATCTATATCTCAACTTCTTATTTAAAACATTAGGCTATTTTTTTTTAAACTAGGTAAACTGGAACCTTGCAATCTTAGTTACTTTCTATTCCATGCTAATTTATTTCTCTGTAGCTGAAGAGTGAGGTTTAAAATAAATCCCATTGCACGCTGAATTGAAAGGCTCTTTCTTTTGGAATCTAAAATCTCTAACTATATTTTAAAACAACATCAGAGGTATTTAGTTCTCTGGCACTTATTTTAAGTGTGCCATAACTTCTACCTTGTCTCAATTGTGGTTTTATTTTTTTATGTAAACTTGCAGGCTTTTACTAGGTTTAGAAAGCAGTACATTTAATTTACCATCTTATTCCTAGTAAATTGAAGCAAAGTCCAGTCCAGGCGTTGATTTAAACCTCAAACCTTTTCCTTGTTTTCCTGACCATTTAATAAAAAGTGGCATTTAACACTTAAATCTTGTTGTGGCTTATTACAATCCAATGTACTATTATGACATTCCATACATTTAAAGTTTGAGATTTGTTTAAAGGATTATAATAGGCAGTTCAAGGTCTCTCCAACACACTGGTTTTATTAAGAAGGTTGTGCATAGTTTCTTTGAGGGCTTAGGATAGGCTTGAACTTTAAATGAAAAAATACAGTCTCATAAATTCCACTATGCTGAAGTCCTTTCCAGTGATGGGAATTAAGTGTTCCTCACAGTCAGTGCTGTAAGCTAGAAATTCTGATAAATGCAATGATTTTCATTAAGTGATTTTAAATTAATCAGTGTCCTATTAACCACGGCATAGGCTCTCCTGAACTTAAATGCAAGGGGGGGGGGGGAGAAGAGTAAGAGTGGATTATTAGCAGCCAGTGTTCAAAGGTAGGAAAAGAAAATGATTTTTTTGAGGCAGACTTGTAAGATGAGAGTTGGAACTATTATTTTATCCTAGACCACAGTTGCATTTTCAGAAGTCTTATATACAATGGCAATAAGTTCTTTTCCTAGTTTTAGATAATGGCCAAAAATCATGCTGACCTCCAAATTCCACAAACTGAGGTTGATTTCTCAAATTTTCATGGCCTAAAAAGTAACTATAGTGCTAATCCTCAAGCCAGCTCTCCCAAAAATCATAGCTGACACTCACTATATATTTGGCTTCGCAAACATTGCTAGACCACTGACATGCATGCTGCACCCATTGCTACCCCACTAGCTGCCTAACTACTCTTGATTGTAGAATGCCAGGGACTGAATCAGGGGACCAAGAATAGAGTTCAATAAATCACTCAAAGTTCTTATTTTAAAGAACTTAACTTCACTTACACAAGTTGTAATTGCTTTGAGTGATTTATTTAACTCTATTTTTTGTCTTCGATTCAGTCCCTGGCATTGCTTTAGTGTAACTTCACTAGCGTTTTAGCAGAGAATGCTAGTTGATGTTTGTGGCCAATCTTCATGAGTTGTGCACCACAAAAACCTGTATTTCAGTTTGATATTGACAGAAGTAGGTTTGTATGCAATGTTGTATCCTTGTCAGTCCTAGGATATTAGAGACAAGGTGGTCACGTGAGGTAGTATCTTTTATGGGACCAACTTCTGTTTGGTGAGAGAAAAGCTTGTGTTTACACAGGTCTGAAGAGCTGTGTAAGCTCAAAAGGTTGTCTCTCACCAACAGTTGGTCCAATAAAAGATCACCCACCTTCTCTAAAAGTTGCTTTGCTATCAGTACAGTCACTGCTGTCCTATTAGCTACTAGTGCAAGGGAAATAGCCACAAAACTGTATTTGCTTCTTCCTCAATTTCAAGTACCATTTTTGAGTGCACTGACAATTAATTCTGCCCTATTAGCACTTTACCATTAAAATCCAGAAGGTGGAGGCTGCAGCAATGGGAATGTCTGATATGAGAAGGCCATAACAACCCTGAGACAGTGATGAGTTTTACATAAATCCCCTTATCCCAGGTGGGAAGGGAAAGGGCTACTGCAATATAGGCACCAGCTACCACAACAGTTGCCCCAAAATAGTTCTGTCCAATAGCTTAGGAAAGTAAGTATAATGTTAACAAAATAAATAAATAAAGCCACAGCTGTGATGATGGCAAACTAAAGTAACTTAAAACTAATTAAACTGAGTCCCTCTAACCACTTAGCATGGTTCTTGTGATAGTATTGTATTACACTATTAAGGTTAGGAAAAGCTAATGTCCTAAAGCGCCTTTATATGTTCAAGAGATGGGTTTCCCAACCACTTTCTTCTTTACAAAATAAACACTCTACTGCACAGATCGACCATTCCAAGTTAAGAGAACAGAAGACAGAGTTGAAGGAGCAGAAGATGAAAGCAGGTGTGTATATTAATCAGCTGAGGCCTACAATCTGAGGTTTTGATTGATACGAAGATGACTTTATTGTAGCTTCGTATAGAAGTTGATGTCCCCATTAGAGCTACTCACTGTAGAAGGCGGCTTACATTTCAGCATTTTGAATCTTTTAGCTCCGTTAAGGGGTAGAATCCAAGCTTTTTTAAAGAAATGGCTATTTACAGCAAAATAATTAAAACACAAATTTTTATTTACAAATTTAAGTGCATAAATACTTTACATTACTCTATTTCAGGGATACAAAGGAAAAGGTGTCCAGCCAAAAAGCCCCAGGACATGTCTAGAGACTGACCATTCTTTTCATGTATACAGGGAAAGCGGCTCATAGGATAGTAATGCAGCTCTTTCTTAAAGCCAAGATTGCTTCTCTACTTGCCATCATTTGTAATACTCAAATTAGAAAATGAAGCTTTCACTCAAACAAGTTTGCTCCTGGATAAAAAGTCACATTATGAATGACTTGCTTTACTTAACACTCACTCATGGAGTTAAATACTACCAACTTGAAATTGCAGATGCTTCCTGGATTTTAAGTTATTTTTTTAAGTGAACTTCATGCCAGAAAGTTCAATTTTTACAGACTTCTACTTTCCCAATGGCTCAGGGTAGGAAATGGCCACTTCAGGCTTAATGTATATAATCAAATACTGTATCAATTCTACAGATCAAACAAATGGACAAGGACAGCTTCCTTTTAAAATGTGGTATTTTGTACAACAGTGGGAAGCTATTTGTTTTACCAGAAGGAAATGCTTTTCCACTCTTTGAGGTCTCACCTTAACATTTCCATAAAGAGCTACCAAAAGCAGCAGTAATTTTCTGGACTTTTGGAGGGAGGTCAAGAACACTTTGCTGGCAGTATGCTAATATTCAGATTATTTAGTGTTAATCAGAATCTAAGTCCTGGACCCCATCATATTCAAACTCCTGCAGAATATCACAGTGGTATTTGACCCATGTTCTGCTCCTGATACCCCTGCCATCTTCATCACTGAAGCTCCCATCAGATTCTAGAGAGAAAACATTAAATGTTTCAAACTGCATGTTAAAATCTCTTTGTAGTTAAAGATCAGTTATGATTCAGGAACTATTAAATACTTAACTTTATATGGTAATGCAAGAGCTTCCCACCTGCCCACTGCCAAAGAATTACAAGTTCTGCATCAGATGAGTTTTGAGTTGTACTCCTTTTCAAGGCAGTGATGCTAACTTTGCACATACAGCATCTTTTAACTGAGGGCTTCAATGTAGCTAAGAAGTCTCAATTTTAATAATAGAAAAACAGGATTTGCCCAAGATCGGTGGCAAGAGTTAGGAACTGAATTAGTCTCCAAACCTCATATGCCTTATAATGCAACTCTTGATAGTTAAAACAGCTTGATAAGGATTTCTAATGAAGAAATTCCTCAGTCAGCCAATAAAGATGAGTTTATCCATTTAAGACAAACATCAAATGAGAATCCACTAATGAAGTTTACTCCTACCTGGCCCCTCTATGCCATATGAAGTATTTTCCCTTTGTTCCCTAAGATTTTTCATGGAAAGAAGGGTTTGCAGAAGTCTCCATCACCTCAGTTCTAATGGGCTTTCACAACACTGAAAGACTTAAAAAGGAATTGAGGAGTTTAAGTTCTACTTGTCAATACACCTCTACCTCGATATAACACGACCCGCTATAACACGAATTCGGATATAACGTGGTAAAGCAGTGATCCGGGGGGGGGGGGGGG